TCGGGGATAGCTTCGCGCGTGGAAGAACCCCCGGAGTCCGAGCCCCGCTCCGGCGAGTAAGGAGCTCGAGAGCGCATCCTCGTCGCTCATTTCGTGCTTGAATCGCTTCCCGACAGAGACTTTCTGGCTCTGGGTATTCCGGCGATTGTTGAGAGATCTCGAATTCATACGGCGCGGCGTAAGAGACTTCATTCATAAATTCCTTTCGGAAAAACACGATGATGGAACTCGACAGGTTCGAGTATGCGGAGCAAATTGGTGTGGGAGCAGGCTGAGGTCTCATGAGACGCCAGGCGTCGGCGTCGTGTCGTCTAGCCCTGAGTACGAATGGCGGTTAGCGTAGAACTGGGTGACGAAAAACAAGGGCATCCTCAGCGCCAACGACCACTTCCTCAACAAGGAAGCGAAGAATTATGTTGGGCTGCTGTCCCACTCCAAGTCACTGTTTCGCACCGAATCGTAGAGAATGTCTGAAATTCTACTTTCTTATAAGAATTCGAGAAATTGGGCTCCCGGGGTCTCGCTTCGACTCATAATAGTCAATAACGGACTTCGTTCAATGTGATCCCGAAGTCGGTGCAGGTATATGGGTCGTGTAGGGTTCCTCATTCAGTCACGAGGTCTCGTCTCGCAGCTCGCTCGAACACAAAAAATGGAGCATCGTGTCAGTGAGTCGTCCCGCCACGGAAAGTTCCACCGAAGACGAAAGAGTCGAACCCCTGTCCGACTTCCAGACGAGTGATTGGGTAAGCCGTGCTCCATCTTGGCGCTTGGCAGGTGGGGAAATGTATGTACCCAGCTCCGCGAGCGGGTCGATTCTCAGAGAGGCTCTGGAGAACCTTTCCCTCCAGATACCGGATGGGGAATGAGCATCGGAAGTTATGACATCCAAAGACGAAATCGCAATTCGTCCAGTGGAGCCGATCCCAGATCGCAACGATGCCGTAAACAGCGAGCTCCGGAGCGTTCGAGCTCCGTTCATCGGATGACACTGTGCCTGCTGGCAGCCTGCACCGAAGTGAGAGTCTCTGAAGAAAATGTCCGCTCACGACGTTCAGAGACGCAATGATGCAGAACACCGTCTCGCGCGCAGCCAAGGGCACGGACGGATTCTTCACTTCTGCGAGGACGAAAAAAACGGTGAGGAAATCAGGTTAATGAAATGCAGTTCGCTAGAGGTCATGAACGCAGCGATTATGTTCAGAGTCCGCCGATACGGCAGCGATAAGTGCAGGAAATCCTCAGAATTCTTGACTATCAAGAGTTTGAGCTTGATTTATAAAGCTTGAGAACATCGAGGGATAATTCGAGAGGCGCCGCGTTTTCAAGAGCTCCAGAGTTCGAGCAGGCGCTTCCCCGACATTGTTTCGAGGTCTCGTCACGTGTTGCGCTGAGCTGATTGTGAGGGTGATATGGTGCTGTTTTTGACACGAGAGCAACTTCAAGCAAAACACTTCCGCGATGCTTTGATGAGAACTCCCGGCTTTTTCCCGGCGCTAGCTGAGGAAGACAGGTCGAAATCGGCGCGCAGTGCGAAACGACGGGCGCGCGATGGAGGCTCGACCGATGGCTGCCGTAAACGTTCCGAGAGTACGTGTAGTTCCGTGTAGGACGGCTTAGAAATGGATGTAATTAACTTCATGAATAGCGAGTACCATACGTCGTATTTTCTCCCTTCGCCTCGCGTACTGCAGGGTAGAAGCAATCTATTCGAAGGTGTAATGCATCAATTATTCACATCCGAGCGAATCCGCGGGGCCCGGCAGGAAACCGTTGCAGATCGAAGGCCGAATGATGATACTGTGAAGCAAGACGTAAATCGAGTCCGCAGATATCGAGAGCTGCGCCCATTCCCTATTTTCCAGTCTGCGTGACTCAACGATCATGTGTGGCCCTGTTTGGAGTCGGCCGCTGAGATTTCTGGATCGATATCTAGTCGGTGAGGGAGAAGTGCATCATGGAGTCCGGCAACTCCAGGGCAACGGTGCTCCTTATTCACATAAACTCTCCGGCCGTAATTATCGACGCGTGCAGGCAGCGGCCTTTGATTATGAACATCAAGCGAGAGAAAGAAGGTTCGCGTGCATTGGGCGTCTTGTTGCTGCATGGATGTGTAAGGCCGTATTATTCGCAGACTTCTCCTTCCGCGTTGTCGCCAGCTCCGTCGTCGTTGTCGCCAGCTCCGTCGTCGTTGTCGCCATCATCATTTGAACCACAATCACACTGGTGTACGAATGGACGGCGAGTCTCGGGATGGACGTTGGAGAGACAAACAGACGATGACATGGCGGTCAGCTCTGATTGCAAAGCCTCCTGATGGAACGAATGGAAGCCGGCGGCTTGCTGGCTCCACTGAGGGAGCGGCCGCGGAGAAAACTGAGGAAATGGCCGTTGAAAACGAGCCCGCGCATGCTGTTCCCACGCCGCTGCGCCGTTCAGATACGGGAGCTCGCAGTAGAGTCATTCGCTATGATAAAGGTGACTCACGTGATTATTTTCCCTCACATCGCCGAACAGTGCGGCGGCTGATTCGACCGTTCATTCGTTCTGGGCGTCTGCTGAATTTTGGAGGGCGCAATGCCCGGATTATCACGGAGCGCGGAATGTGTCCTAGTTGAGTTGAGATAGACGCTCGTATAGTATATAGACTGCGTGGCGACCACACTCCCAGCGGTTGGCGCAACCCGCTTGAGGGTCGTTGTGCGATGCTTCCCAGGTCGAAGAAGGAAAAATCCCGTTCGGGGTCATGGAATGTCGATTCGCGATCGGATCAATGGTATTCTCTCGGCGCCCCCTCGGAAGATGTAATTATCGAATAACTCATGAGCAAGTGGGCAGGAGAATCAATCTTACCGGCTTTATTAAGCTCGATGGAGTTTGGCTTCAGAGTGTTCAGAGTTCGTTCCATCCAATCATTCACCGGAGAAGCATAGTTATCGGTCGGAGAGAAACCGCAGAGGAAAATCAACTATACTGGATTTCACCATCGGAGGCGGATTGAGCGCTTTTCAGCGAATTTCCTCCACGAGAACTCGGCTCATGCGAGGCGAACCAGAACAGAACGTGAGCGCGATGAGATCCGTATCAATCTTCGACAGCCGCCGATATCGAGTCATCAAACGCGCAATCCGGCGTCATCCGTGTCACCGATTCCGGTTTCGAACAGGTCGCGGTACTGCACCAGGCCGCCCGGAACCCATTCACTTTCCAAACCCGCTACGAGATATCTTCGGCCATCGGCTGGTTGAGACATCTGCTAATCGAGCCCAGTGCAGAGAGTTCTACCATTTTCACGCGACCGCCCCCAAGATTAGACAATGGACGAATAAATGAAAAATGGCGAAATACGTTTCCTTGACATTCCGCGATCGTTCCGGTCGTCCTTTGTGCAGTGCAGCACGCGGTCTTCGTTTGAATGTCTACTCCAATACCGTCCATCCTCGCTCGTCGTAGGGGAGGAAGGGAGAGAGAAAACGCTCTGCTTCTCCGGAACAACATACAGCCTCCGGACAAAAGACTAGCAACGCTCTTTTTTTGCCCGATAAGCTTTGATTCAATTGAACGGTTCAAGGAGGAGCGCCAGAGATAGAAATAAAGCGGAGAACAGACCGAGCGGATGAAGGGGACGTCGTCGTCGAGAAAAAAAAACCTAAAAGAAACTTCAAAGAGAATGAACGCGTAAGGTTTCGCGTTGCTCGTCCCTTCTCAATCTCGCTCCCCCCCCCCGCGGACGATGTGGACCGCCACGGCGATCAGACGAAGGGCGACCGGAACACAAACTGCAGATCATTCGGATTCCTCTGTTGTTTCAATCAGATGCTGATGACGGGGGCAACTCCGACTTCCGATGAGACGATGTGAGCCGAGATTCTAGAGCGAGCAAGAGAACAGACACAACGATGGATTGTGTCGGCGTGGCGGCGGCACGGGGGAAGGAACGTCATCTCATGAATCTCGAACCCGCTCCTCTGACAGCTGTCCTGGAGCATGACCCGGGCCAAAAACTTAATTTCCTTCTGGAGTCGGTGTCTATTCATGAGATCCGATCAGTGACGTGCGCCATCCGCTTGAAACGAACGAATTTCTCGGCAGCGGACAGTCGAAATAAGGGCAATAAGGGAATGAGTCGGGGGACGATGTGAACTTGCATTCCTCGAGATTTTCGAACAGGTTATCCGGATCAAATTCGAGAGAAACAAGATTGGCTCAACACGAGGTCCCCGAGGATCACAAAAGCATTGGGAATACTTCCCTGGGACAACCGAAATAATTCCCCATGGCGACCCATGGCAAACCCTGGCGGACATTTCCAGCTGCGAGATATTGTTCCCCGCTAACGAGCAACTTTGCAGGGATTCCGAACGTTCTGCGGTTCAGAATGAAAACGGTCTCAAACTTTTCCCCGCGGGATCAAGCGAGAGAAGCGCGTGGTTTGTAGATTGTGTGGGGGACGAGAGTCCCCGAGTACGGCCCACCGATGCTGCGCCGTGAGCTTTCTCTCGGCGGGAATGGGGATGAGGAGGGAAATGTCTCCCTGCGCAGGGGGCTGCCTCTAGCCTCGGCCTTCGGTCGGCTCGGTCATTGTCTGTCGGAGTGGTCATTAGCTGTGAAGTAGTCTGGATGTCCCGGAAGGGAAACCTTTAGAGGAAGTTGTCACAGGTTCTCTCTTTTTCTCTTTCAAGCGCGGTATCCTAAAAATTCGAGACCATCTTCCTACTTCGGAATCACTTCGCAAACCATCCGAGAGGATAAAGAATTGGTCCTCAAGTGGTAAGCTCTTCTCCGAATCGAAAGGAACGTTTGAAATTGAACGCACGTCCTGTGTCAGGAGGAACCTCAGGCTCGGTAGAACTCTCAGCCGGGTCAAGAATAGAGATCGCCCGCTGCCGATCCGCGCCAGTTGGCGCTAGAGTGCTGAGCATGCTGCCCACGTCCAAATCGCCACAAACCATAAACAGAATAGACTGCGCATCCCTGCTCTAAACGACGACCTGGCTTACCGTCTCTAACTTCGCAGCTGTTCTGGAGACGATACTTTTTGTCCCGCATCGTCAAGGACGCCGTCATCTTCGGCGCAAGATCGTAGCAGTATGGCTCGACCCAGGCTGGGGACGCTGAACGAGGGAAGACTCCGGCGAATCACGAGTTTACGTGCGTGGACGCTCAAATCCGTCGCTCCTAAGATACACAGCCAAGACTGAGGAGCGTCTCCTGACAGTATGAGGTCTCAGCACAGTCGAAAGATGATCAGGGTATCCTAGTCAGTGGCGTAAATAGACCGTGCAGCGTCCGGGGCGCATACCACGGATTCCGCTGCTCCCTCGGAAAAGCCCGGCTCTTTCGAGCGCCAATTGAAGAAGTGGCGCCCCTCGGAAGTTCTCTCGCGAGCTTTTCTCTGTTTTATCGTCGGCGCACGGGTCCCCCTTTCCCCCTCGCTCATTGCTCGTAGTAGTTCAGCATTGGGTGGGAGGACGAAGAGAATTATTCTTGATTAATGCTCGGTGATAAGCTCCATCCAGGAACCTGCGAGGGATAGGAGTCCTGATACACCGCTGTGGTCGAAACTTGACTCTAAAGGTCGCACTGTTTGGAATCTTGGGGTCTCTTCGATCGACCTAGTCATCGACCGATAGACGAGATTCCGTCGCGTTCGTCACTTGTTATGCACACAAGCGTTTGGGTTCGTGAAATGCCGTGATGACGCCTCGGCATTGGGGTCCAGCCCAAAGTTTCGATGGAGCTGGACGCCGTCGGCTTCAGGCGAGATTGATGACGTCTCCGCCGACGAGATCCACGAATGAATATGGGAGAGAACTTAAGCTGAATAAAAAAACTCAATTACCAACGATGAGAACGATATGAAGCCTTTGTGAAGGAGATGAAAATCCGAAACGACCTATTGTAGAGGATCGCTCGATCTTGCGGCGAGTCAAAAGTCCCACGGTGGCCCACCGAGCATCATGCATGCGTGAAAGCGAACACCATGACTAACAGCGCCTCTCGGGTCGCGCCAAGCAACACCATCGGCCTGGAATTCGGGATTGCACTTCCGGCACCCCCTCGAGACGACTCTCCAGATTTTATGGCCTCAACTCGCAATACCCCTAGTGGACTATGCGGCCGGGACAGCGCCGTCCCAAGAGCATTCTGTGGACCGGACGCGTGGTTCTAGTCGAAACTTCGGATACCTGAAGGACGAGTGCAACGAAGAGGGGCTCCTCCTGTCCTCTTTCCCCGCTAGCCGGGCTAGATGCTGGCCCTGTAAAAGGCTGTTTCGCTTACGCTATCGACAACCTGAATGGAGGAATCGAAAATCGATGTCACATAGACCGAAGAATCGAGAAGCGGACATCTGTGTCTGTCGGAGGGTAAGGTGCCCGATGGAAAACCTATCGCTTTCGCAGGGAAATCCGATTCTTGAAAATCGCCTGTTTTCCGAAGGCATCGGACGCTATGGTCTGGAGTCGTTGCACACGGGGGAAAACAGTCGTCTGCGAGCACGATAGAAATATTGTTCGCCAGCAGCCCCAAGAACACGGGGAGAGCAAACTCAAATTCTCATAGCGTCGTCTCCGGTTTTTCCCTCGCGAAGTTCAGCCTCTCAGTTCCAGCTTGTGAGGTCCATCGACAGGATGGCGCGCTTTTATCCCAGTCGTTCAGAGACCGTCGGTTCTTCTGCTTCCGGTCAGCGCTTGCTCATTGCGCGGATGTCTTGAGTCCTCCTGTCTCCCGCGGCCCGCTTTGGTCCAAGCCGTGCCTCTCGCCGCTGGGTCTGATAGGACTAAGCCACGGACTTAATCGGCTTTCGCCAGACTCTCATAGATTTTGTGTCACCAGTTCCAGGATAAATAATGTTCCCACTCGCAAAAACGGCATCAGCCACCGCCATCGGACGGCGCTTCGAAGAAATTTCGATTCCAGGAAGAGGGTTTTCCACAAGGAACGAACGGAGCAATAGGCGATGAATACGGAATCGTGAGTATCGGGAAGGCTATTTGGCCTGGATCGTCGCTACCGCCTTCGCAGGACTGTGAAAACTCCTGGATATAACACGAATTTCTGCGAGCCTCCGTAACTGAGCTCAATCTAGCTAGAAGGTCCATTCAATAAAATGATTATAGGCTCGACCACTGGCGAAAATAATCGCGATCTCCAAGTTCCTAATCGTTTCGAAGTTCGGGAATCTCGCCCGCAGAGACTCCCGCCACCACGAGAAATTACCTTCCACAGAACTCATGGCGGAGATATACACCGGAGCCAACACTCGGGACAATCGAGCTTTTTCGGACTCCGAATTTGTGTCCGTCGGGCTCCTCGGCGGAAACAGCAGAAGTTTCCACTCGCATTGCCAAAGCAGAGTCATCGTTTACGAAGAGAAGCCAATCGAGATATGATGAAATAGCATCGCATTGATAGCCAGCGAGGGCTCGATCATCGTAGAGGCGAACCTTCCGTTCATTAAAGCTTGAGGGAGAAATGACGATTTGATCCTGATTCATGTTGTGCTTGAAATGACGTCCCTGGACTCTTCAGGTCTGGCACGGTCTCCCCCTCCCTCTCCCCGGCCCCGGTATTTCGCGGGTCCGAGCCGATTCTTTTCGATCGAGCAGTCTGATTGAAAGTTGCAGAAGGTTTTTTCGTATTCGGGTCTATCAGCTTTTATATTTATTTTGCCTATCAGTATCCCCGACTGTCAAACTTGACTTGCTGTCCGTCTATCTATCCGAGGCGTATTAAGGACCTCGTGAGCGATTCCCACTGCGTTGACCTCAGGAAGCGGAGGGCACGACGACGACCAGTAGGAAAAAGGAGCGTCTTCGTCGATTATTGATTTCTATGATCATGATCAGTTCCCAAGCCTTCTCTCTGTCTCAAGCAGGAGAAGTTCCTGGTCATGAAGTGCACCCTCGGGACAGATCCGACTTCCGGGAGACTTCTTGTTACGGACGATGAAGTATTAGTCTTTCTCAAATATTTTTTTCCTTTCTCTCCTGAGTATCAGCTACTCGCATCCGTACAATTCGCAGAAAAATAATCGCCACCTTCGATGTTCCTTGAGTGTAAAAATCGGAAGTTACAGATATCCGTTGAATCAACCTATGAACGTTCGGAAGAATGCCTATCTTATTCTTGGGAGTCTCGAAACGTGCTAGGAGCAGCCGCTCGGTCGTGATTCCTCACGGAGCTTATAGGGAGCTTTTTTGCTCGGACCGTAGCGTCGTCTCCTACCCGCAGTGTTTATCTCCCGCTCCCGCGAGGGAGGCCTACGTGCCGAGAATTCCCCGCGATGGAGGCAGCGCCGACGAGACCGAAAGGGCCTTTTCGAAGATGAGAGTTCACGAAACTTTCCGCCGATGGCGCGCGGTTTAATCGATGTCGATTTCGCCCAACGAAGTGTTCGCATAGGATCTCGAGGAATTCAGTCAGGTCGGGAGATTCGTTGCGGCTAGAGGATAGGGCTTTCCGAATTCTCCTCGGCGCGCACAATACATACTCAATCGTTCGGCGGAAAATATTCAAATTCGGCATGGGAGGTCTCCAGTGGAACCTGGAATTCAAGAGCTCTGCAAGAGGAATTCTACTGGTCCAGCGATCTTGCTCGCGAGTTACTGACAAAGACGTATAGGTTGTACAATTCTCAAAGGCTTGCGTGGCGAGTTTCCGAGCTATACGGTGTCGGTCCGGGTACTGGTTGATCTGGATCCTCGAACGTACTCGTATACATTCGCTCTTTGAGTGAGCCATCCCACGGTTCCCGCGTGCGTCCGATGGTATTTTGCACGTCGATGTCTCGCTGGCCAATTCAGAACTGTGGAATCAGAATAATGAGGATCGCCGAGGAATTCTTTGGGTGGAACCCTGATGGCTTGAATCTTAAGAGAGAGGTCTTGGGGCGCAAGTTTAGCTGAGGGTATCTTGTCAGGCGGGCCCGGTCCCTCGTTGGCCGAGACGAGGCGGACTCGGAATCGGTAAGGAAAGCGATCCGTCAGCCTTTCCTTGAATTCCGCTCTTCATTCGCCGACGACTTCACTCGACCGCAGAGCATATCATTTCAGTGACTCGTTGCAGTTTCTTTCAGTGGCTTGAGCGGCTCGCTTCCGATACGTCCGATGAACTTGCGGACGGCCGGAGTAGAGAGAGCAAACTTCCCCGTCTGAGTGAGAGCGACTTTTGCTGGGTAAACCTCTCATGGGGCCACTGATTTTCTCGATCTCTTGACGCTCGATAATTTGACTTCGGCTTTCTCTTCAAGGAGGAGAACCTGGAAACGGTGACAATGACGAGCGGACTAAGTAAGATTCTCGAGTCAATTCTCTGAGGGAAATCTCTGTGCGACATCCAAATAAGCTCGCAACGATGCTAACTAATCTGGACAAATGTGCGACACAGTTTCAGGTTTCTGTTGCGAACCTCCGGGATTCCGATGGTTCATCCAAACGAGACTCAGTCAGCCATGATTTCCCAGAGGGTGGTTGTTTTTGTTTCAAGTGGGCTCCTTTCGACACAGATGTATTCCCGGGTGTGACCGTCAGGTTTGACCCTCTTTTTGAGGGAGAGAAATGAGAAGTGCGGCCGCGGAAGAGGAAGCGATGGGCGCAAAGCAGAATTGCCGGTCGTTGAGCCGCATACCTAGGTCATCACTCGCGCTTGCGAGTCGAACGACATACAAGTCGTAAGCCGATGAGTGGAGTAATGACTCCGAACGCGGCTCGGTCAAGGACTCGGTTCGGAGCTCCGGCTCCCGAATCCCCTCGACGTTCGAAGAACCTCTATTTGTTTGAGTCAATTCGAGCGCGGAGCGGAAACGTCTCGAATAGGAGCTTTGGTCTCAGCGGAAGCTGTCATTGGTCGCAGGATCGCACATAGCACATACATATAGACGCACGGCAAATATAGCACTGTTGTATCCGAGGCCGTTTGTATCACTGACTAAGTATCGTCGATGCGGAGACAACGTATTTCCGGCATTAGCCGATGCTCGGATCTGATTCCGACGGCTGAACCTAATTGTGAAAGTATCTGTCGGGGATCTCCAAGGGATCGGCGGCCGGCGTTGCTCCGACGCG